GTATTACTCCTTCTACCCTCATCCACCAATAAGCTGCTCACAAAATGGCAGGGGCCGTATGCTGTGCTGCGCAAGATGGGTCCAGTCACATACGAAGTCCTACACCCCGAGAAGAAAAGGCCCAAACAGACCTACCACGTTAACCTCCTAAAGGAGTGGAGGGAACGGCCTGAGAAAGCAACGGCAAAGGTTCTGTTTGTCAGACAGCTGGAGGAAGCGGACGAGGAAGATGATGTGCCGGATGTCGGACTAGAGGGATTAATAAAAGCTGCAACCCCGATCCTGGCTCATCTCTCTCCTGAGCAAGCTGCCCAGCTGTTCCAGACCTTCAAGGAAGTCTCGTCCCTCTTCAGTGCCACTCCCGGCAAGACCACCATTGTGGAGCACCTCGTTCGGCTGAAAGACGGGAGACCCATCCGACAGCGGCCCTACCGTGTGCCTCAGCAGCTCATCGGAAAGCTCCAGGATGAGATCCAGGAGATGCTGAAACTTGGAGTCATCGAACCCTCCAACTCAGAGTGGAGTAGCCCTGTGGTCATTGTTTTTAAAAAGGATGGATCGCTCCGGATATGTATTGATTTTCGGAAACTGAACTCTGTTTCAGAATTTGACGCATATCCAATGCCAAGAATTGATGACTTGCTGGAGAAGATTGGGGCAGCTAAGTACATCACCACTTTGGATCTATGCAAAGGATATTGGCAGGTGCCCCTCGAGAAGTCATCACGGCCCTGCACCGCATTCCAAACCCCTGGTGGACTGTTTCAGTTTACTGTGATGCCGTTTGGACTGCATGGAGCCCCAGCCACGTTCCAACGTCTGATGGGCCGTGTTCTTCAAGGGTGTGGGCATTGCAGCGCGGCCTACCTCGATGATGTGGTTATCTTCAGTGAGACCTGGAGTGACCATGTTCAGCACCTTTCCCTCGTCCTGAAGAAGATTGAGCAAGCTGGGCTGACACTAAATCCAGCTAAATGTGAGTGGGCTCGGCAGGAGACTCTGTATCTTGGCTACCAGATGGGTCGAGGAGAAGTAAGGCCCCAAGTGGACAAGGTCAAAGCGGTCCTGCAGTCTCCTAGGCCACGCACCAAGAAGGAAGTCCGGTCCTTCCTTGGGTTGGCAGGATGGTACAGGAGGTTTGTGCCACAATTCGCAACCATCGCTGCTCCCCTCACCGCACTCACGGCCAAGAACCAGCGAAATCCAGTAGTCTGGACCGAGGACTGTGAGAAGGCTTTTGCCACCCTTAAAGCTCACCTGTGTTCGTCTCCTGTGCTGAAGAGTCCAGACTTTAACATGCGCTTTCTCGTCCAAGTGGATGCCTCCGCTGTGGGCCTTGGAGCAGTTCTGGCTCAGGGGGAGCCGGGAGAAGAGAGGCCAAAACTCTACTTGAGTCGGAAACTCCAGCCACGAGAGACACGCTACTCTGCAATCGAAAAAGAGGGTCTGGCCATCAAATGGGCGTTGGAGGGCTTACGCTACTATTTGCTGGGGCGAGAGTTCGATCTAGAAACCGACCACGTGCCTTAACATACATCCAAACCATGAAGGATCACAACAGCCGTTTGACCAGGTGGTACCTTGGTCTACAGCCCTTCCGGTTCTCCATTCGACACCGTGCCGGCAAGCTGAACATTGTAGCGGACTACTTGTCCAGGTTGCCCCACAGTGTCGACCTTCCGGAGGGGAGGGATGATGTGACGGAGCGGGTCCGTCTGTAGTTACGTGCGCGGACTGAGTTTTAAAGTAAAGGCTGACTTTAGTGCCGCATGCGCCACACGCAAACCTGCACGCACACACACACGCCATTCCAAACGCGCGCACCCCTTTTTTTCCCTCCGTTCCATTAATGCTTAACATCCACACGCATCATCCATACTCTTGTCCCTCTCTTCCCTCAGTTACTAGTTCGCCCAGGGGTGCACCTTTAAGAAATACCTTTAAGCATACATTCATACACGTACCGGTCTGTCGCGCTCCTCTGCATCTGTGCGCGAGGATCAAACCAGGACCATACTTCCTGGCGGGTTAAATGCGCCCTGGGAGCGTGGGGAATTGTCCCCAAGATTAAATGTACTTATAATGGCCTAATGTTTCATTGTAGAGTATAGGTTTTTGTGTTGGACCAATAGGGAATGGGTCCATGTATGTATTCTCTGTTTATACGTCCTATTTGTAATAATTTATTTTGCTCAATGGGAGGAGCAAAGGGGACTATAAAGGAGAGCCGTGTCTGGCACCCGTCAGTCTGCCGCTGGTTACAGAGGAGGTAACTACCTGGACTCATTAATGGTGATCTATGTGTCCGAGAGGACCTGTTGTTTTTTTTGCTAAATTCACTGTACATATGCTCTGCACTGCCTGTACCAATTTTTATGCACTTTGGGGAAAATAAAAACACGAATAATCACTGCAATCCGAGCTCGCCTGTATTTTTTCTGAAGTAACCCACGACACATAGACATAACAGTTTCTTATGTTTCACACACAACACGGATGAAATAGACATTACATTCACAGTAGCATTTAGAATCTGTAATTGTATGTCATTTTTGTCCAGGACTCCTTTGAAAAAGAGGTTTTTAATCTCAATGGGACTTTTCTGGTAACAAATATATATACTGTATTGTAGCGTGCCACAGTAATGTTCCGTTTTGTCATGTTTATTGTTATGTTGACTGTTAAGTGTTTGCACCATGGCTGAGCTCACCATGTCAATTGATAGGGTGTTATGGAGTCTAATGTTAATCTGTTATTAAATCGGCCTTCCTGGGGGTCTTGCGGTGTATGTGGCACGAGTCAAGTAAAGAAACTCTCTCTCCTGTGACTTATTTGACTAAATCGTCACATTGGTGTCAGAAGTGGGATCATTCCCATTAAAAGTGAAGAAATTGAGAGAGAGATTGAAGACCTGGAGCACACAGTACTGGAAAACTGCTGTCTTCTTGAGGAGGTTAAAGGATCCAGGTCCAAGAGAGAGAGATAGCACATACTCCAAGACAAACTGTGATAAGCCCCAAGACAGATGATTACACTTAAGACCCCTGCTAAACAACCCAAGTACAGTGGAACCACACCAGTAGAGCCCTTCCTTGCCCAAGTTAGACTGGCATCATGGCATAGTGGCTGGAGTGACAATGAAGCTGCCACCCACCTTGCCCTGGCTTTAGAAGGAGTCGCCCTTCAAGTTCTCAAGGAAGGGGAAAACTTGGGTACCTTCGCGGCCGATATACAATTCCATACCCAGCGTGGTTACCCCCAGTTTCCAATTGCTGCATGTGACGAACTCACACTTCATGCATTTCTTCAAGGTCTTATCCCAGAGAGGCTACGTCAATATGTACGTTTTGCTCGCCCTCGCTGCCTGAATGAAGCTCTCCAGGAAGCTGAACGGGCGGATATAGTGCTCTCCACACGGCCAAACCTGGGAAGGGCCACAAACATGCTGCAGCGAGTCCGCTAAGTGGATTATGAAGAAGTCGGAGTTGAAGAAGTCTATCAGGTCCGTACTCCAGCCCCCAAGGGACGCCGCAGAACTGCTACTGATCGCTGTTTTCGCTGTGATGAACTCGGACACTTAGTTCGAAACTGCCCTGCACCATCCCCAAAAGCTAGAGCACCACAGCCAACGGGAAACGAACGGGGGGTGGAGTAGAGAGGAAGACCCCACCCCAAACACATGCCCCTCTACAAGGACAATACACCGTGGTGGGCCAACCTAGTTGCTCGAAAGGACTGTACTTGGATTGCGTTGTAGATGGCCAACCCTGTCGTGCACTGATTGATACAGGGTCCACTATCTTGCTCGTACAGCCAGGAGTACTACGTGGTACAACAGGTCCACTTTCCACATCCTGGTCACCAACACACATGCAGCTCACCACTGTCACAGGAGAGAGGGCGGGTATGCAAGGAAAGAAAAGTGTGCGGATTGAAGTTCAAGACCAAATGTTGGAGCATGAATTCTGGTTAGCGCGAATGACCCTTGTATCATTGGATTAGACTTGCTAGTTCACTGGGGTGCTTTTGTTGACCTTCTGAAGTCAACCCTCACTCTAGGGCCTATCACAGTTGATCTCCAGCCTGAAAACCAGAAAAGAAAGAGGCAGAGAACCCGGAAAGTCAGTCCAAGGGAGGTGGTCCCAGCAGCGGTGGCCCAGGTCCAGGCGGTACCAGCAGCTGCGGCCCAGGTCCAGGCGGTTCCAGCTGCGGTGGTCGAGGTCCAGGCGGCGTTCCAGGTGATCCTAGCGGTGGCGGTCCAGGCAGTCCGGGTCCAGGCGGTCCCAGCGGCGGCGGTCCCGGCAGTTCCAGCGGCGGCGTTCCAGGCAGTCCAGGTCCAGACAGTCCCGGCAGCAGTGGCCCAGGTCCAGGTGGTCCCAGCAGCGGTCCTGGCGCCAGATCACCGCTCCCCAACACTGGCTGGCGCTTGCACAGCCAGTCCCCGTACCATACCACCCCCATCCATGGAGACTGTGAATGCTGTCAAAGAACTGTGGCAGCGCAGTAGTGAGGGCCTGGATCAGTGTCAAAAACAACAGTTGAGACATCTGTTGGACAGGTATGTGGACATCTTTGCTACTAGAGATGAGGGACTCATCGCTTGTCCAGCACTCTATTGGCACTGGTTCGGCCTCCCCAATACGCCTTAGGCCCCATCGGCTTGCCCTTTCAAAGAGACAGTTAGCAGAGGACTTGATCCACAAAATGCTTGCGGCTGGAATAATAGAACCATCCAGTAGTCCCTGGGCAGCTCCAGTAGTTCTTTTGCGCAAGAGATTGGGTGGGTGGCGGTTCTGTTTGGATTACCGTTGTCTCAATGCGGTCACAAAGAAGGACCTTATCCACTACCCTGCATCGACGATGCTCTGGATTACATTAGTGGATCAAGCTGGTTCAGCACCCTCGACATGCAAAGTGGATATTGGCAGGGGGAGCTTAGCCCCGAGGCCAGGGCAAAGACTGCATTCACATTCGGGCAAGGACTCTGGCAGTTTCGTGTAATGCCATTCGGCCTGTGCAATGCGCCGGTCACGTTTGAGCTTCTCATGGAGCGGGTGCTCGCCGACATTCCTCACAGCCATTGTGTGGTGTACCTGGATGACCTGCTGGTCCATGCGAGTGATTTCAGCAAAGCTTTGGGCCACCTGACCGGCGTCTTCGCTATTCGTCACGCTGGTCTGCGGCTGAACCCTGCCAAGTGCCACCTACGACAGAGAGAGACTACTTTCCTGGGTCATGTGGTCAGTGCTGAAGGAGTGGCGACTAAACCAGAGAAAGTAGCGGCTGGATTGGCCGATCTCGGTTAACGTACATGACCGCCGCAGTTTCTCTATCGCCGCTTTGTCAGGAACTTTGCCTCTGTCGCAGGGCCCCTACACCGCCTAACGGACAAAGGAAAGCCTTTCGTTTGGACTGACAGCTGTGACACTGCTTTCAACCAGCTAGAAGCAGCCCACACATCCGCGCCCATCTTGGCGTATCCGCACGCAGATCTCCCCTATGTGGTGGACACAGACGCTAGTGGCATCGGAATTGGGGCTGTCCTCTCACAGCAGGGAGGCAAAAGAGAGCGGGTAGTGGGGTACTACAGTCGCACTCTCAGTCGTGAGGAGAGGAACTACTATGTCACACGCCGAGAGCTGTCGGCCGTGGTGACGGCAGTACACAATTTTTGCCCTTATTTGCACGGCAACAAGTTCCTCCTACTAGTTCATGCCTCACTGACCTGGCTTTTGAGTTTCAAGCAGCCAGAGGGACAAGAAGCTCGCTGGCTGGAAGTTCTCCAAACTTACAATTTTGAAATTCAACATCGCCCTGGGCAACAACACAATAATGCGGATGCCCGTGTGTTATAGCAGAGTGTTGTTACTGCGAGCGCGAGGAAGAGCGGGATCGGGACAAGCCCAGGGTTTCCGCTGCTACAACAAACCTCCCTGATGACCTGTCTTCAGAACAGCTGCAGCAGCTGCAAGAGTCCGATACCACCCTGGCCCTGCTCAGGAAGTGGCTGGAACTGCCCAGACGTCCTGAATGGCCGGCAGTATCCCCACATGGCACGGATGTTAAGGCCTATTACTCTCAGTGGGGCAACATCGAGCTACATAACGGCTTGTTGTTCCGGAGGTGGCTGGCTCCAAGGCAAGGCAAAGACATCTTGCAGTTATTAGTGCCCCGTTCACTTCAACCTCAAGTCCTTCAGAGTGTGCACGGCTCAATCGTCTCAGGCCACTTTGGCATCTCCAAGACCCTCCGTCGGCTTAGGGGACGTTTCTACTGGCCCGGCTGCCGACAGGACGTGGAAATACATGTGCATTGTTGTGATTTGTGCACTGCTCGGAAAGGTCCCACCCAGCGCTCACATGCCCACCTTCAGCAATACCTGGTCGGGGTACCAACATAAACAAGTGCAAACATTATCGGAGTCTAAAAAGTGGAAGTTTGGTATTAAGGGGCAACAGAGTTGGAACGCGGGACGAGGCCGTAGCAAAAGAAGGGGCAACCGAGGTGTTAGGAGCAACGGCAGGAGGGCACCCCCGCCGCGGGGGCTGGGCCAGTTGAAGCGGTTTGCTGAGGTACACGTGAGCCGGTTTTTTAGACAATCTATTGCCACCCTCTCGGACCTACCCCCCATAAAGTTCTTAGGTCCTACCTCCAGGACACAGAAAGGCCCGTCGTAAGGGGCCTGCAGTACAGCCCGATGGCCGTCATGGCGAATAAATACGTACTCGGCCGTTGGCAATGCTTTGGCCACGTAGGACTGGGGCAGGCCGTGGCGAGACGTCGGTATGGGGGCAAAAGCCTCCCCTGGGACACGCAGAGGCTGGCCATAAACCAGCTCTGCAGACGAGGCCTGCAGATCCTCCTTAGGTGCGGAGCGAAGACCCAGTATAACCCATGGGAGGCGGTCGACCCAGTCACTGCTCCGGTTACCATAGCAACACACAGTTTATATGACAGCAGCAATTAGTAGCCTTTCAACAAACTATTGTTTTTCTTCTGAATTTCAGTTATATTACCCAGTTTTATCATCTGTTAAATTCCTTTTTAATTTTAATGAAATACAAAAATAAAAGCTGTTTTTTCCTATAATTAACTTCTGTCCAAAAAAAACCAACACAATGTCATCATTTAATTGATAAAACTTTATTGATCCACCCACCTGACATTTGAAATACTTACATTAAATTAATTTTCTTGTGCAATAATTTATAAATAAAGCGATTAACAATGATCCGTTCAAAATACCTGACGGTCAAATTAAGGTATTTTGTACGTATTAAGTTGTACAAAATACCTGATAGTTGTGACAAATTCAAGAGTCTATAGAGATCCATTATAGAGAGCTTGAAAACACAAAACAAAGAATTATCCATTGAAAACATGGACATGCTACTACAACCACAGCAGCAGCAGGTAGAGCTATGGGACTATTCACATGTGCCTGTTTCACATTGATTGCTTTTGTTGTTAGTTTTGTGCAGTTTAAGTCATTTGGCAGCAGCGTACAAATGTTCATGCTATATACTTTCACTTATATTGAATCATGTTTGCAGAATGTCAACGCAAATACTTATATAAACTGTAGAATCATTCAGGCAGTGACCAAAAAATATACATACAGCATTCATTAATTTTTGTAGTCAATATAAAAGTTTTAGTGTGTATTGCATTTTGGTTGATTTAAAGTAGGTGATGTCAAAAACATCAATTGTATTTTATTTGTAAAATATGGCATATTTTTTACCATATGATCCTGTGTCATCATGTAAATGCACTATTTTTCAAAGGTAATGGTTCACCATAGTCATAGTCTCCCTATTCTTGGCAAAACCAAGACTAGTAATATTTTTTGTAGGAGAATACTTCGACCAATGGCAAGAAATCAATTACATTTTGTCCAATCAGGAAGCCGGGTGAGCATGGGCAGGTGCAACTGGCACTTGCGCTTCAAAAAATCCTCGATCCCTCTTCACATTAGCCCTGTTTCCACCAGCCCTCCTTGACCTTACTCTACTTGGCTCTACTCTAGCTAATTGTGTATCTGGCGCCATATCCTACACAACCTACCCACAACAAACTAGTATCTGTAGAAAATCCAATCCAATCCAGTTTATTTATAAAGCACTAATAAAACAACATGGTTGACCAAAGTGCTGTACATAAAAACACTTACACAAATATACAAATACAGTGGCCCCCTTGAACATTTCAACATTTCGCCACATTTCAGGCTTCAAACATAAAGATATAAAATTTTATTTTTTTGTCATGAATCAACAACAAGTGGGACACAAACGTGAAGTGGAACAAAATTTATTGGACAATTTAAACTTTTTTAACAAATAAAAAACTGAAAAGTGGGGCGTTTACTTTCAGTGCAGCAAACTCACTCCAGAAGTTCAGTGAGGATCTTTGAATGATCCAATGTTGTCCTAAATGACTGATGATGATAAATAGAATGCACCTGTGTGTAATCAAGTCTCCGTATAAATGCACCTGCTCTTTGATAGTCTCAGGGTTCTGTTTAAAGCGCAGAGAGAACCATGAAGACAAAGGAACACACCAGGCAGGTCCGAGATACTGTTGTGGAGAAGTTTAAAGCCGGATTTGGATACAAAAAGATTTCCCAAGCTTTAAACATCTCAAGGAGCACTGTGCAAGCAATTATATTGAAATGGAAGGAGTATCAGACCACTGCAAATCTACCAAGACCCGGCCGTCCCTCCAAACTTTCATCTAAAACAAGGAGAAGACTGATCAGAGATGCAGCCAAGAGGCCCATGATCACTCTGGATGAACTGCAGATAACTACAGCTGAGGTGGGAGAGTCTATCCATAAGACAACCTGAACACACCATCCCCACTGTCAAACATGGTGGTGGCAGCATCGTGGTTTGGGCCTGCTTTTCTTCAGCAGGGACAGGGAAGATGGCTAAAATTGATGGGAAGATGGATGGAGCCAAATACAGGACCATTCTGGAAGAAAACCTGTTGGAGTCTGCAAAAGACCTGAGACTTGGACAGAGATTTATCTTCCAACAGGACAATGATCCGAAACATAAAGCCAAATCTACAATGGAATGGTTCACAAATAGACGTATATCAGGTGTTAGAATGGCCAAGTCAAAGTCCAGACCTGAATCCAATCGAGAATCTGTGGAAAGAGCTGAAGACTGTTGTTCACAAACGCTCTCCATCCAACCTCACTGAGCTCGAGCTGTTTTGCAAGGAAGAATGGGCAAGTTCCAGTCTCTCGATGTGCAAAACGGATAGACATATCAAATGTTGAAAGGTTCAAGGGGGCCGAATACTTTCGCTGTTTCACTGTACAAATTACAAAACAGTGGCAAAAAGACAAAACACTATTTACAGCAAAAATTAATTGAAAATCAATTAAAATCCAGTGAGAAAAAAATGTGTCTTAAGACGAGACTTAAAAACAGGAAGTTACTCAGACAGTCTAAAACAAAGGGGCAGCTCATTCCATAATTTAGGACCAACAACCGAAAAAGCTCGATCACCTCTGAGTTTCCGTTAATTCCACCACTAATCGTTGTCAAGCTAGAACACTTAAGAACCAGCTCGGCCTGGATAGAACCTGGGCCAAACAAGTAATAAAAATACCAGTTAAAAAGGTAATCAGGGTAGAGTAGAGCCGAGTAGAGGAAGCCGGGTGGAAATGGGGCTTTTTTAAAAAGTGACTGACATTGATTCATTTTCAGTATAATTTCAGTTTGAAAAACAAATAATGATTTAATTTGGCTTTGTAACAAGTAGCTATTGCTTTTGGCTTGTAATGCAAAAACCAAAAGAGTTCAATGAAACCAAGACCTTATTCCTGGCCACTCCTGGAATACTGTATATAATAATATGTGACCCGACTAATTCTCATAATTTTTTTTTAGTTCAATTTAAACAACTTCTTTGTGCTGGCACCTTTAAGTAAACATTTAGGAATATGTCATCAAGATAATTTGTAATTCAGATATTCTTGCCTTGACTTGTATTATGTTGAGTTTTTGAGGAAGGGTTTTTAGCAGCCAAAACATGTCAAGAAAAATTATCTCTCGGGACCAAAGTAAGTGTTGGTTTAAGTGGTGTCCCTTGTACCTGATGAAGGCGTGTTTGCATTGATTTTAATGCCATGCTGTGAAACATTAGGTTTTTGGGTTCCTGTTTGGCTTCAGTCAAACAGCATATTAACCTCTCTAAATCCATCTGTAAATATCCATGTAAAAATCACCTGTGTTCCTCTGTAGAATCTTATTTGCACAAGTTTACATCAAACGTCATGTGAGACGCACAGAGCAACAATGTCCAAGTCGCTGAGCTGTGAGTCAAAATACAGATGAGTGACAGCGGAGGGTCAGAGCCAAAACAGGCTCAAAGACAAAGAACTCGTCTGCAAATCACTAGTTTGTGGAATGGAGACCAACACAACTTTAAATTGCTGCTACAACTAATATCACAACTATGTTAATATTCTGAATTGTTGGCATGCAATGAGCTGTGTACAAAATGTCTTTTAATCTATTGCCATAAAAACTCAATCTTCTTTTTTCAAGTATGTAACTCCCCAGTTTGCAAGATTAGCATAAAAATAGTAGTATCTGGATTATAAAGAAATGTAATCATGTTGAATATTACATTTCCCAAAAAATAGTTACAGTATTGGTGGCCTTTAGAGCTGGGATACATACCTTTGAAACCACAGGAAATCCAAGCGCGTAGTTCCTTGCTCTCAAAAAATGGTTCAAACACTATGTATTTTGGGCGACATATTTGAATGTTTCAGCTTTATCTGAGAGAAAACCAAAAAAGAGGACCACCTTCACCCTGTCAATCAGATGTCACCCCAAAGCATCAAAGAGCAACTCCCAGGGCTCTTTCTTACAAGAAACAAAAGTTTGAAGACAAAGGCGGGATGATTTGTTCAAAATTTTTCTTATAACGTGTTATGTGCAAATGTCTGTGAATGTATCAGACAACAATATGCTGTCTTCATAGAATGTATTACTTATTTATTACTTAATAGAAAACTTGGCTGAGTGTCAGGGGTCCTCTTTTTAACTAAATGTCTAGCTGATATAAAGATGTCCTTGAAGGCCAAAACATACATGCATGTGAATACTAGCGGTAGAACCAAACTGTTTTGAGAACGAAAACTAGATGGATTTGAGTACAAACAGTAGGTGTTTTTTTTACCCCAGCATTAATCAGAATGTAAAAATTGCACGCAATTGTACATTTGCAGACATGTTTTCAACTGAACAAAACCAATTTTATATTGAGCTGGTTTCACAATGAATGAATGCAATGCCAGAATGAGCTTGCTAAATGTATACCACACATTTCTCACAAAAGTCTCTCATAAGCCGTTGTTAGTTTATTTGTTAATAATTAGTCCCATCTATAGCCACATCTTGACATTTGCACATTCAACTGCAGATGGAGCTGGACTTTGGGGATAGAAGTTCCTAAAAACGCTGCCATTTCAATGTAAGAATAATGTCTTTTCGAATTATAGCTTAGCCATTGTAAATCCAGTATATTGTTGTTTGTGGCGCTCACACGTGGGTCTCGATGTAGGAGTGCGTGTGGGAGAGAGAAGGGGTGAGAGGTGGGGGTCCCGGGTCAGAATCCTCGCCCTCGTCTACAGCGTCCTGAGTGAAGAGCTCTTTGTACGCACGTTTCCACTCCTTAAACTCTGAGGAGGAGAGCTGCGGATGGGACAGCAACCGGTCAATCAGCGTCAGCTCCCCCTCCTTGTCCTGAGGGAGACAGCAGTGTCAGGCTGGTAACTGATATTTTCACACAATTTTGATTTTAACAATGACAAACAAAGGCAAGACACACAGTTAAAGAGATACACTGAGTTTAGTAGATCGTATGATAGCAAGAATGGGAATAAAAACACCATTCATTAACATCATAAAATTAAATGCATCACTTTTTCCATGCACATATTAATACATGGCTAGTTTTAGTATCAAGTTACATAATTAAATTGTATTCAAAGTCACTTAAAATATCTACTTACTTCCACACTCTTGCTTGTAGTAACTGTATCTTGTAACTTCTATTGAATCATGTCAAAATGAGCGCTTTCCGAAAAATATTTCTAAACAAAAGGGGGCCGTGATACCTGAAGCACACTGGTGCAATACATTTTCCTGTCACACTCACGTCTATTTATGGATAATACATTCATATTCAGCTTTTCCTTTCACAAAATGCTGCAGCTCTGCAGCAAACTAGGAAATCTCCTAAAGCTGTCAGAGAAAAAGGACTGTCCAATAAGTTCAGCTGGATTCATTTAACTTCAGGGTTGTGGTTAGGGTTTCTAAACAGCAGTACATTGTTGACTCTTTCATCTGGCAGAATTTGTTTTTTTGAAATAGTTTTCAATAGCTAAAAGAAATTTGTGCAGGGATCCAAATGTATGGTATGGTGTGTTATTTGTTTTCATTTCTTAACTATAACTGTGGCGTCTGTCTTCAACGCAAAACTTAGTGTATTCCTTTAATAAAACAGGCACTACACATACAAGTGACTTTGACAAAAACAAGTAAAAAGCAATCCTCAACTTCAAAGAACTGCCGCTGAACGAGCGCAAAGTCACAGAGAAACATGAGGACGACATGGCAGCTCTACACTGGCACCAGGCCCAAAATTAGCACAGCTCCATATGTGAGACGGAAACGACACTGGGCTGTTTTCAACGAGAACAGTCATGTTAGGGACAAGAGCACACTCAGGTGCTCAGAAGGTGAATGCATTTTTCAGTATTTTCAAAAGAGATTTAAAGCTGTGGTACACACTTTATTTCTTCAATGATACATGCTGTTTGTCAGTCTGGTAAGAGTAATCTGTTGTAAGTAATCAGACCACAACATGCTTTCTTCCACTTATTAGCTGATCTAAAAATATGACAGAGGCCAAAAATACAGGTACATGTGAGTGAGAACTAGCATGGGAGCTGCGTTGGGAGCGAGGTAAGTTAGATCGATTTTACTGCAGTTACAGTTGGCCTTGCACCAAAGTCACATTTGAGTGCCATATGAACGACTCTGAGGAGCACAGGGACTGGCCTCTTGTTGGTGCCCAGAGTCAGGAACAAACATTGTTTCAGATGTATGCGGCTAAAATCCCTTGACAATGTTCAAATCCAGGGTGAAAACAGTTCTGTAGTTATGATTTTAGTGATATACCTTGTGTGATTTCAATGTTTCTTTTAGCCTTGTCTATAAACTGTGCTATACAAATACACTTGCTTTGCCTTGCCTTGCCTTGCCATGTTGTGTGTTTCATCATATATTTACATTCATGTCTTCAATAACCCTCTCTCCACACATAGAGCCACATCCTGCTGCACTTGCCTTGAGTGTGGAGGTGAGTATTCGGAGGTGGTGCAGCCTCTCATTCAGCTCTGGATCGTCCGCTCGCCTCAGAAAGGACTGTCTGAACTGGGCCTGGCCGCGGTCTGCTCTGCCCTCGGACCCCCGGCCCAGAGGACAGACCCCGCTCTGCTCACAGGCCCGGAACAGCTCTCCCAGGGACGCGCCCTCACTCCCACCTGCACCAGCACACATTAGGTTAGATAGGGAGTAGTAGTTTCTTATTTACAGTGGGGCAAAAAAGTATTTAGTCAGTCACCGATTGTGCAAGTTCTTGGCCATAGTGGACTGTTTGTGGCTGTGGACAGGTGTCTTTTATACAGATAACGAGTTCAAACAGGTGCCATTAATACAGGTAACAAGTGGAGGACAGAAGAGTTTCTTAAAGACCTTATGCCGGGTTTAAAAAAAAAAAAATTGTGGATATCAATATTGCATGACAATGTCAATCTGCAAGAGATTCCGGCAAAAAAAATCCTATATTTTATAAAAAAACGTGTTTTTCATGAATTTAAGCTGTCTATGCTCAAACCTGTGTGTGACGTCATAGCGGGTAACACCCATGCATTGAAAATCATGGATCTATGCTACAGGAATGCCTTTTCTCTCTTCTCTCCACTGATGCCCAACACAATACTGCATTCTACAGGTGACAATTGCTCACTACACATAAATTGCCGTTTTGAGAGTGAAAAGTGTCTGAGGTGGGATTTGAACCCCAGTATCTGGATTGGCAGTCCATCGACACAACTACTGGACTATCTCAGTGACAATGAAAAGTTACAATCTAGTATTTATGTCAGACTCGCTGTACACGGCCTTGTCATCTTGAATATCCGCGATAAAAGAACGAATACCAAATTGTAAACAACTTACAGCGTTGAAACGTACCCACTCTGACGTCACCAAGGGCTGTGAAGTTTTTTCGTCTCTAAGGGCGTTGCTATGGGGTTATTTCGATTTGGGGGATCAGACAAAAAAAACAACAACTGATTTTGAAACCTTTAGTAGTTCTCTTCTAATATAAAATGGTATTAAAACTGTATTTCTAAATAAATCAAACCCGGCATAAGGTCTTTAAAGAAGAAGTTACAGGTCTGTGAGAGCAGAGATATTCCTTGTTTGAAGTGACCAAATACTTATTTTCTGCCATAATTTACAAATAAATTCTTCAAAAATCCTACAATGTGAATTCCTGTTTTTTTTTTTACATTCTGTCTCTCACAGTTGAAGTGTACCTATGATGAAAATTACAGACCTCTGTCATTAAGTGGGGGAACTTGCACAGTCGGTGGCTGACTAAATACTTTTTTGCCCCACTGTATATACCCTTTGTACATTTAAAGCGTGGCTATTCCAAAACCTTTCGGGTTTTTGACTCAGCAGAAAGAGTCTTATGGACAAATCACACCAGAAGTTGCTGTTGGTATTGTCTTCATCATATTGGAAAACATGTCCTCTTTTCTTTTGAGTCACTATTTTCTGTCTGAAAAAGCAGATCTAAAGATGTGACAGAGGAAAATATACATGAGAGCAAAGAACTTTAGTTACATTACATCTATGTGGTTTGAAAATGAGGTACCCCGCCTTTCAAACAGTAGCATTAAACATATTAAATGTTTGCGCATTTTTACATTTGTGTACGACCACAAATATTTAAGATTTTTTTGTTTGAAATACCAAAACGAAGAAACAATGAAGTGAAAGCAACATTATACACAAGTTTGCTTTTTAATAAAATAAAGTAAAAACCTTTAATAATAATGGCGGTCCCTCAGTATTGAGTAAGACTATCGGCAATGATACATGGTTTTATTATTTTTTCAGGGAGATCGCCCATCTCTGGATTTGTGACTCTTGTCTGTGGTAATCCTGGAGATAACTGGTTAGCTACGTATCCCGTTGGCCCAAAGCTCTTATCTAAGTGAGAGAGCTACATTTAGATATCGATAACAAACTAAGCTAAAACGTCCTTCCAGATTCCGATTCAGATTCCGTTTATTTGCCATTTGCAGTAAAAACACCACATTGGAATACATTAGCAAAAGTCATCAGTGTGCACAGACAAATACAGACATAAAACAACATTAAAAGACAAAAATAAAACAAATAAAACAGTAAACAAATGTCACTGTGAAATCGATCGACTAAAACAGTTTCAAAACAAGTGCAAATCATTAAAGTGCTCTGTTCACACTGATAACAGCTTGTGGATAAAAACTGTTAGCGTAACGAGATGTCCTGCATCTCAGAGAGCGATATCATCTGCCAGAGGGAAGAAGCTGGAACATGGCTTTCCCAAGGTGGCCAGAAGAGTCATTAACAATCCTAAGAGCTTTGTTTAAAAGTCTGGATTTATAAAGAACCTCCAGAACAGGAAGCTCACAGCCCACGGTCCTCTTTGCAGAGCGGAGCACCTTGTTTAAAGATCTCTTTTCTTTATCTGTGATGTTTCCAAACCACACAGATACAGAACCAACAAGTAAACTCTCAATGGTGCAACGATAAAAGTTAAGCAGAATCTTAGAGTTAGTGGTAAATTCTCAAGTTTACGCAGAAAGTAGAGACGCTGACGAGCTTTCTTAACGACTCGGTCAGTGTTTTTAACACATTTCAGGTCGTTTGACAGAGTTAAACCCAGAAACTTGCACTCCTCTACAATCTGCAGCACATTGAGTTGCCTTGTGTATGAATTGTGCTATACAAATAAACTTGCCTTGCCTTGCCTTGCACCTGGGAGTTGTCGATTACGACAGGCAAATAAGAGTTATGGCGACTGAAGTCTAGTGCTACTGTGCTGTATTTTTTTCTCTCAACAACAACAACTTATTTTTGTATAGCCCTAAATCACAACAGAAGTAATCTCAGAGGACTTAACAAAACAATTGAAATCACAAACACAGATCAGAGAATCAACAGTTAAGACACAAAATATAAACATATGTAATAGTCCATAGGGAGAGACCAATGTCCATGAATGTTGATAAATGTCCATACATGTTGTAGAACGCTAAAGTGTCCAGGATCATCACCACAGTCCTGCGCTTTTTGTCAAAAAGGCAAGAATCCAAATGTGTATCATTTGGTTTAGTTGGAAAGAAGTACTTTGATTCACTTTTGATCCAATTTCTGATTTGTAAGTATTTGAAAAAATTGTGCGAATAATTTTGGGGATACATTTTTCTAATCGTAACGCTATGATTTAGGAGAGTATTTTGTAATCCGAATTAAGAAGACTGAGGGGTCTGTAGTTGTTTCCAGGTTTAGAAAGTACTGTTACAGTTGCAAGCTCTAAGGTCTTTGGAAGAGCTTGTCTCTTAAATGCTTCCCTGATCATATTTGTAAGAGGGGATAGTATTTTTTTGGAAAAAGTTTTGAAGTATTCAATTGGGTATCCATCTGGCCTTGCCGCCTTATTATTGTGTAAACTTTTCATCGCCAGGAAGACTTCCTCTTCAGATATGTCCATATCCAGTAAACAACTGTCTGCACTGGTCAATTTAGGGAGGGGAAGTTTACTCATAAATTCCTTTATCTTGGAACCCTCCTTTGTTTGCTCTGTTTTGTATAATGTTTCAAAATATCTGTTAAATTCAGTGTGTATATCCTTGGACCCTTCTAAGAGCTGTCCATCATCAGTTTTAGTGCAATGGATTCATTTTTTTGCATCTTCTTTTTTAAGTTGTAACGCAAGCAATCTACTGGTTTTGTTTCTATATTCATAATAGTTATATTTGGTTCTGGCCATTGCAGCCTCAGCTTTGCCTGTACACAAATTATCATATAAAATACGTTTTTGCTTAAGGGCGTTGAGAGCTCCAACTTGTTTAGTTTGAGCATGGTTAAGTTCTAGTGCTCTAATCTCACTTTCCAGCTGTGTAATGCGAAATGATGTAACCTCTCATATTGGCCTTAAGGGCTTCCCATACAATTGAATGAGAGGCAGTGTTTATATTTGTTTCTATGTAATCGTCTATTTTTGTGTTAATAAATTTAATAAAATCAGGGTCTTTCAATAGATAGGATTTAAATCTCCAATTGCCAGGATGGTGTTCGGATTCGAGCAGATCAATTTCTAACTTGATGGCATTATGGTCTGAGAGAGTGGCTGCTAAATATGAGCAGGTTTTATTTTTTTCAACAAGTGCTTGTGAAGCTAAAAACATATCAATTCTGGAATATGTGTTATGTACATTAGAGTAAAAGGAATAGTCTCTCAGAGGGTTCTGTAATCGCCATATGTCTTTTAAGCCAAGATCTTTCATTCCTTGAAATAGGGCTATTGCAGATTTGGAGAGATTGGTTGTTGTGGGAGACGATCGGTCTAAAGCAGGGTTCAAAACAAGATTAAAGTCACCCCCCACTATACATTTGCCCTCTGTTTCTGCTAGCCTCATAACAAAGTTGTTAAAAAAACTTGGTTAATCTATATTAGGGCCATAAACAGACACAAATGTTAATCTGTTTGTATTTATAACACAATCAATCCTTGTCTGTTAAATTAAACTGAAATTTTAAGTTTTTATTTATGAGCAGAGCTACCCCCCTTGCTTTTGATGAGAATGAGGAATCAAAGACATGACCAACCCAGTCCCTGCGCAGCTTCAGGTGCTCTGTGTGTGAGATGGGTCTCCTGAATTAGAGCAATATCTGCATGTGGTTTCTTCAAGTATGTTAGTACCTTCTTTCGTTTAATAGGGGAGTTAATCCCTCTGACATTCATTGAGATACTGATTGTCCAATACATGAAGCACTCGAAACTGCCAAACAAAGGCTCCAAGCCCTGGCTAGCCGCCTACAGAGGTACACTAAAGAGAATGAAGCCAGAAGGGTGAACAGGCTGTTCGCAACACAACCTGCGAAGGTGTACGCTCAGTGGCAGGGTAACAACAGGGGAGCAGACCCACCGAGGCTGGAAACTGAACAGTTCTGGAAGAACATATGGGAGAAGGATGCAGCACATAACAGAAGTGCACAATGGCTGGTGTCCCTGAGAGAGGAGCACAGCCACCTCCCAGAACAGAACTCAGTTACCATCACAGAGGCAGACATCCGAGAAAGAGTCTCAGGTATGAAAAACTGGACAGCACCTGGCCCTGATATGGTCCATGCCTACTGGCTAAGGACACTCACATCACTCCATGAGCGCCTAGCAGCACAAATGAACCAGCTGCTGAGA